TATGGTCATCTGTTTCTGTTTTTTGGAAATATTCAGGAGTTATCTGTGGTCTTAATACTTAGATGGATGTGTGTTTTGATATTTTTTATGCTTTCTGATTGCCTCCAGGTAGATGTGATCAGGAGATGGGGTTCTCTTTTCACTCTTCTTCCTGAGAAATTTCGAAATGCCACTGTTGGTAGTTGTGACGTAACTCAGGATTTAGATTTCAGCCTATTTCCTTTTTAGTTTGCCCCTCCCACTCCACAATCCCCTTTCATGCCTTTTCCCAGCAATAAACAGTTCAGGGCTGGCTGTGGCCATTTTGCACTGCCGTTTGGTTTTTAAATGGAAACTGTCACTTTAAATTTTGAGGAGATCTGTGTGTATGCATAGTAGAACCCTCCAGTGATTGGGGTGGGGTGTCCACTAGCTCAGGCACCCCCTCTAGTCACCAGAATGGAGGTGTGCAGACAGCGAGAGACCAATGAACAGATTCAAAGAAAAAGGGTGTCCACACCTTTATTTCTGTGGTTCTGTCAGGTGTCCGTGGCTGCTCTGATCCTTCCCCCACTTGGTCTCACCCATGATGGTGGCTCTGGGAGCAGCTGAGCATCTTAGATTAGAAAGCAATGGATTTCTTGCTTCTGATACAAATTACCCTAGCTGTAAGCCTTCCAACCTTCTAAATATCCCTTACATGTATTTCAGAGTTCTAGTACCATCCCCTGAGCCTGCTTTGTCTGGTATTCTGTGTTGTTGCTGATGGAGCTCCTCACTGCATGTCTACCTGATCTGCCATGTTGTTTGTTCTCTCTCAAGATAGATCTTGAAATGTTCTTTCTGATGATGAATGTGACCCATTGCTCTTCAATTTATCATTTCCATCAGAGTAAACCATGTGATTGCCAGATTCAAACTGGTCAATACCAGTGCATTTCAATTCACTAATGCTGAGGAGATCAATGTTTATGTACTCCATTTCATTTCGGCAAGTTCCAATTTTCCTACATTCATACCTTGTACATTCCATGTTCTGATTATTAATGATGTTTACAGATGTTTGTCCTTATTTTGAGTTGTGCCACATCAGTAAATAAAAGTCCCGAAGGTTTTACTCCATTTGCATCAATCAACGTCAACTCTACTCTGAAGAGGTAGCTCTTCCCCAGTCTTATTTTGCGAACCTTCCAACATGATGGGCTCATCTTCTGGCACTGTATCTGACAATATTCTGGTGCTCTTCATCATGTTTCAATATTCTGGTGTTGACAGTGTTCTACTGCTATTCATAAAGTTTTCAGTGACTAAATATTTGGCAGTAGTCTGTCCCTCCTTCTTCTTAGTCTGTCTTTGTCTGTAAACTCAGCTGAAACATGTCCACCATGGGTAACCCTGCTGGTATTTAAAATACTGGTGACATAGCTTCCAGAATCACAATAACATTCAAGCCACCACAGTACAACAAACTGACAGATTATATTCAAACCACCACACTACAACAAACTGACAGATTATACTCAGATTAACAGCAACTGACCATCCTCTCACTTTAAGCATTCTCTTGACAATCTCCTCAACTTTCATGTCAAACTGTCTGATGTTCTGGTAAAAATTCTAACTCAGGATTAACAGAAATGTCTACTTTCTCTGCTCCTCTACTCAGATTGCTTAGCACTATCATCAAAAGAAATCTCATGGTCATGCAGACAGTTGAATAGGTCCTTACCTGGTCTTTACCACACTACTAAATATTCCTTTCTATTTTCCCCAATTAGCTCTCTCCCATTCTGCATTTGGTTATTTTAACACTTTTTCTTCTTCCCAGCCCCTTAGCTGTCAAACATGCCTTTCCCCATTACCTTTAAGACTAGGTTACGTTCATTACTATGTGTTCTCACAGAATTCATACAGAACATGATCATAACCATGCTTTACTTTGATTTTTCCTGCCCAGTTAATTCTCCACATCTCCTACTGAGCAGATAGTTTTATAAATTCAAACCACTCCAATCTACTGCCATCAATCCGATGTGGACTTGTAGCAAACCTGTATGATGTTTCTGAGACTATAAGTCTTTTACAGAAGCAGGAAGCCTCATCTTTCTCCCACAGAGTGGCTGGTGGGTTTGAATTGCTGACCATTCTTATCCTCTAGTACCTTACTAAGCTTATTGGGAAAAAGAAATACAACTTATTCTGTATTGAAACACAGAACTGAATATATTACTAAGTACTTGCCAAGGATTGAATTGTGTACCACCACCACCACCACCACAACCACCCCCAAAAAATGTATCAGCTTGGCTGGGTCATGATTCTCAGTAGTTTGACAGTTATGTAATGATGCAATATGGCAGTTATGGGATGATCCCCCATGATGTGATTTGATGTGATAAAGCTGTAAAAGGATTAAAGGTGGGATATAATACTCTGAATCCCATCACAGCCCTGATCCAATGTAAGAGGAGGCCCACTAGGGGGCAGCCTGCAATACCTCTTATTTATAAGAGCTAAAAGGAGAGAGAAGTGAGCAGAGGTCCAAAGGACCTACTGCCACCAAGAAAGAAAAACCGGGAGTGGAGTCCATCCTTTGGCCCTGGGACACCTGTACTGTGAAGCTCCGAGATCCAAGAGAAGATTGATGTCAAGACACTTGGAGATCGCCAAGGAATGCTGGGCCTACAGATGCTGAAAGGACACAAGGGCCTTTCCCTATGGTCAACATAGAGAGAAAGTCTTACTCCAAGGCTATCTCTCTAAATTTGGACTAACCTCCTAAACTATGAAAGAATAAATTTCTATTTGATAAAACCATCCACATGGTTCATTAAATACCATTATGGTATTTCTGTTATAGCAGCTCTAGATAATTAAGACAGTACTCAATAGATATTTCTTGAATGAACAAATGAACACAAATTAAATGCTAATTGAATGAACACACCATATAGAAATCTCATGGTTATTTTAAGAGACAATTCATTAACCAATGCCAGTAAAACCTTGTTGTTGTTATTGTTAGATGCCATCAAGTTGGTTCAGATTCATAGCATTCATAGCAGCCCTATGCACAACAGAATAAAATACTGCCTGGCCCTGAGCCATCCTCAAAATTGTTACATTTGAGCCCAATGTTGCCACTGTGTCAATCCATGAGAAGTATGAATATAAATGATTTGTAAAATTTATAACAGATATATAAATACATTAAGGAGCTCTGGTAGCGTAGTGGTTACGAATTGGGCTGCGAACCTCACACTCAGCATTTCGAAACTACCAGCTGTTCCACGGGAGAAAGATGAGGCTTTCCTCTCCCGTAAAGGTTTACAGCCTCGGAAACCCTGTACAGGGTTGCTATAAGTCAGAACCGACTCCACGGCACATAGCAACAGCAACAACATATAAATACAATAGTTAAGAGTTTATTGTTATTTCTGCCCTAGTGGCTGGAGAAATACAAGTCGATTCCATATGTATAATAGGTATCGATGTTGTTGTTCAATGCCATCAAGTTAGTTTCAATTCATAGTAAACCCTGTATAGGGTTTTCAAGGAGTGGCTGGTGAGTTTGGATCGTCAACCTCATGGTTAGAAATCAAGTGTTTATTCTACAGCGCTATACCAGGACTCCAAACAGCTACTGATGGAAATTGAAGAAAGGAACTGATTCGGATCTAATGAAAGTAGTTTGCTAATTCTAGTGGGGAATTTTAAGTATCATTCAAAGTTGATCACAGTAGTCTGCCATAAAGAAAGTATTTATTCTGTGATAACCTAACTACACTTCTTTCCCTTTGATGTAATTCTCATAAATGGTTTATTTTTCTAAAGACACATCTCCACGATGATAATGATTGACAGGCTTCCCGGAGACCAACTAGACATACTAAACATTGTTCTATATCCTGAAAGAGAATTTTTTATTTTTTTATTTTTTTTACTTTTCTCTAGACTATCAATGATATTCATCTTCTTATTTAGCATTATGGAACTTTGTGGTAGCAGTCTGTTTCAAGTCTCCTGCTGTGGATAAAACAGATGTGAGTCCTGCCCCTTAAATACTCACCCTGACATTGTGAGGGTGGAGTCCTCCTGGATGCTGAGACATGTACTGGGCCAGATCTGTGTGCTAAAGAGCATGGTGAAGAGAGAGAAAAGAGAGCGAAGTTAGCGGTGTTTGGATAATTGTCCTAAAGCAGAGCACAGACTTGACTGTCAGAAGGTACTATGAAGCTCGGAATTCTTGGCAGTAAGGTGCAAAAGAAACATAACCATGTTTCCTGAAACTACTGCTAAGGTCAAACACGATGCCTTTTTTAAGTGGCTGCTCTGAAAAAGAAGTTTTTTTCTGAGCACAGTTCATGTTAAATGTCTGCATTTAACAATAGGACAATAGGACACAGAGAGTTTTCACTCTCCAAGTGTCTTTGGTGGCAAGGCAAGTCTATAGAGCCTTATGGTATCTTTCTGTATACTGAAATATTTTTTTCTTCTTAAAATACAAAATGAATTGTTTTTCAGGTAGCCTTATATGATTTTTAAAACAAAAACAAAAAACTCTGTGACTTATGTCTTCATTGCTAATGAAAAAAGATATTGGTTCTGCTCAGATAGTGATTAAAAATAGATTTTTAAATACTAAAGTCTTATTTAGGAGGCAAACTCAAATTTCTATTTACTGTAGCTGATGAGAGGGAAGGGGGATAGCAAAAGTAGTAGACTGAAGAGGGAGTGCAATAAGCCTTGTGGCACTGTAGTAGAATGCACTAGACCACAAGATGGATTTGGGTCGCAAGATCGGCAGTTCAAACTCATCAGATGCTTCTCCGAAACCCTATACAGGGTCACTGTGAGTTGGAACCAACTCGAGGGCAAATAACAATGATCATAATAATGAAAATTTCCATGACATCTTTCACATTAAAGTTTTACCAGGCCATAAAATATTAACAGATGTCAATATACCAATACCAGGCATTTTCCATGTGCTTTATAAAATGCTGGAGCAACTCACCATGTATTCAAAAACGAATGTCAGTGTCTCTTTGGTGTGAATTATGTCATGCAGGAGCACAATATTGGCATGCTTCAAAACTTTCAGGAGAGAAGCTAGAAATATTAAGCAAAATGTTAAATCAATCATTGATAATGAAAGTGCTGCTTTAAAGGACAGCAAGAAGTTTTCACTTTTTCACCATTTCAAATCAAGCATTCTAGTGTTTACTTCTGGAAAAAAATCTCTTGTGAAATCGTATTTAAAAGTACAAAAGATCTTCATTATTTGTTAAATGGTAAGACATTGCATTTACACAACTTTTTTTCTTACAAGCTACAGTAGTTGCAAGAAACCTTTCCATTTATCCAATCAAGTTTATCAAAGCACTCGGAGCACTTTGCAAACTCTCTCCTCTGGGAATCTCACCATCCTGGCTTCAGAGCTATGGCGAAGGGGCCTTGAGAGATAAAGGACATTGGAGGAGCAGGAAATGTGATGTTCTCCTTCTAGAGCTGTTCATAGCACCAGATAATTGAATAATGAAACATGATGACTAGCACAAGAATATTGTCAGCTATAGTGTTTGAGTCTGGTGTGGTGCTATGGGATAAATCACTGGACCACAAGGTCAGTTTGAACCACAAGGTCAGCAGTTCAGACTCATCAGCCACTTCTTGGTGTAGAATAATAACAGCCACTATACAGGGTCTCTATGAATCTGAATCCATTTGACAGCATACAAAATATTACTGGGGAAGAGCTGCCTCCTCAAATTAGAGTTGACCTTGAGGACACAAATGGAGTAAGTTTTCAGGACCTTTGTTTGCTGATGGGGCACAACTCAAAATAAGGAGGAACCACTATAAACACCCATTAATAATCAGATCATGGAATGCACAAAGTATGAATGTAGGAAAATTGGAAGTTGTCAAGAATGAAATGGAATGCATAAAGATCAATATCCTAGGCATTAGTGAGCTGAAGTGGACTGGCATTGGAATCTGACACTCATATAGTTTACTATGCCGGGAATGACAAATTGAAGAGGAATGACATTGCATTCATCATCAAAAAGAACATTTCAAGTTCTATCTTAAAGTATAATGCTGTCTGTAATAGTATAATATTCATACACCTACAAGGAAAACCAGTTACTATAACAGTTATTAAAATATTCACACCAACCACTAAAGACACTGATGATGAAACTGAAGAATTATACTATCTTCTTCAGTCTAAAATAGATAGACATGCAATCAAAATGAATTGATAATTACTGGCAATTGGAATGCAAAGGTTGGAAACAAATAAGAAAGATCAGCAGTTGGAAAATATGACCTTGGTGATAAAAACTATGCTGAAGATTACATGATAGAATTTTGCAAAACCAATGATGTATTCATTTCAAATACCTTTTTTCAACAACATAATGGCAACTACACATGTGGACCTTATCAAATTGAATACACAGGAATCAAATCCACTACATTTGTGCAAACAGATGATAGAGAAACAATTATCATCAGTCAGAACAAAGCCAGGGGCCAACTGCTAAACAGACAAATTGTTCATATGCAAATTCAACTTGAAGCTGAAGAAATTTAAAACAAGTCCAGGAGAACCAAATTACAACTCAGCTGAATTTAGAGACCATCTTAAGAACAGATTTGACACACTGAACACTAATGATAGAAGGCATTCTGAAACTTGCCCTTGAATGTAGAATAAAAACAAATGGGAGCTATGATAACATAAAAGAGCTAAACAGAATACTTCAAAGGATTGTTCCAGAAGACAAAGTATTATAATAAAAGGTGCAAGGACCTGGAGTTAGAAAACCAAAAAGAAAGCACACACATAACATTTCTTAAATGGAAAGAACTGAAGAAAAAAATTCAAGACTCCAGTTTCTCAATAAGGGAGAACTGAAGAAAAAAATCAAGTCTTGAGTTACAAATAATTGAACAACACAGGAAGTATCAAAAGAAGATGGAAAGAATACACAGTCACTGTATCAAAAAGAATTGGTCAATGTTCAACCATTTAAGAAGTAGCATGCGTTCAATAATCCATGGTATTGAAGGAAGAAGTTCAAGCTGAACTGAAGGCATTGGTGAAAAGCAAGGCTCCAGGAATTGAAGGAATACTATTGTGAGATAGTTCAACACAGATACAGTGCTGGAAGTGTTCACTCATCTATGCCAAGAAATTTGGAAGACAAATTCCTGACAACTGAATGGAAGAGATCCATAGTTGTATCCATCACAAAGAAAAGTGACCCCTAAAATGAGGAAATCATCTAAGACTATCTAATATTACACACTAGTCAAATTTTGTTGAAGTTATTTCAAAAATGGTTGCAGCAATATATCACCATGGAACTGCCATAAATTCAAGTCAGGATCAAAAGAGGACATGGAGCAAGGGATATCTTTGCTGATGTCAGATGGATCTTGGCTGAAAGCAGAGCATACCAGAAAGATTTTTTATCTGTGTTTTATTAATTATGCAAAGGTATTTGAATGTGTGGATCATAATAAATTACAGATAGCATTGGAAGTGAATAGGACTTAAAACATATTCTTTTGATGAAGACTAAGGACTATAGCCTTCCGTATGAATTACACTGCAACAGAAGAAAACAAAAATCCTCGAAACTGGACCAGTAAGCAACATCATGACAGATAAAAAAAGTTGTCAAGGATTTCATTTTCCTTGGCTCCACACTCAATGCCCATGGAAGCAGCAGTCACAAAATCAAATAAAGCATTGCATTTGGCAAAGATGCTGCAAAAGATCTAGTAAAGTGTTATAAAGCAAATATGTCACTTTGAGTACTAAGGTGCACCTGGCCCAAACCTATGGTATTTTCAATCGTCTTTTATGCATGCAAAAGCTGGACAATGAATAAGGAAGACAGAAGAAGAATTAATGTATCTGAATTGTGGTAATTGCAAAGAATACTACATATACCATTGGCAGACAGAAAAATGAGCAAATCTGTCTTGGAAAAACTACAGCCAGAATGTTCCTTAGACGTGAAGATGGTGAGGTTACATCTTAAGTACTTTGGACATGTTATCAGGAGGGACTAATCTCTAGACAAGGACATCATGCTTTGCAAAGAAGGTCAGTGAAAAAGAAAACTATTGTTCGGTACAATGACTGCAGCAATACGCTCAAGCATGGCAATAATTGTGAAGATGGCACAGACTGGGCAATGTTTCATTCTGTGGTACATAGGGTCACTGTAAGTCAAAGCAAACTCGATGGCATCTAAAAACAATAAGAACACCTTCCAATGAGTCCATGTAATCGCATAATATTGTTTATATCTGGTTTGGGTTTCCAAAGCTGTAAATCTTTGCAGAAGCAGAAATCTTCATCTTTCTCCTATGGAGCGGCTGGTGGCTTGAATCACCAACCTTGTGGTTTGCAGTCCAGTGCTTAACCTACAAAGCCACCATGCTTCTGAAGACCCTCTTAGAAAATCCAAATTTGCTGGTACCAACAACAAATCAGTGCTTTCTTTTCCCACTGGGTGGGCCACATTTTTAAGATCTAGCAGGAGCGTCTCTGTCCAGATTACCAACAGATGGCAAGAGTCCACCTGGGAATAAACGAACGCAGAGTGTAACAGAGTTGGGAGATTGAGAGGCATGGACTCCTGGTGGCACTACTTAAACCCCACAGGCTTATTTACAAGAGGTTTGATTAAAATGTTTATCGGTCTGTGAGCTAGCGAATGTCTTTTTGTACTGAAGTCAGTTTGAGACAGGAACCTCTAACCACCAAATGACCCTAATACACTTGTTAACCCTACTTTGCTTCAATGGCACTTTTACTTCAGCCTCCTGAGTAACTATGAGCTAAATTAATTTGCTTTTATCAATATGTTGCTTTGCTAGTTGGTAAGCAGTCTTACAGGCATGTATTTGATCTCTGAGCCCATAAGGAAGGTTACATGGGAATAGAGACAGGTGATTGTCCCTCTTTTTCAGATGCTGCCACACCACCTTGTATGATGCTCAGCTGACAGTGTGCACTTAATTTATCAAACATATTTATTGAGTATCTGTCACTTACTATCAGAGTCAACTCGGAGAGTAGCTCAAGCCAAGTCTCAAATCACTCCCCATGAAAAAAAGATAAAGCCATTCCTGGTTCTACTTCCCAAGGTTGATAGATGGCTGAAATCAAATCTCATGTGTAAAGTACTTGGTAAATGTAAAGCATTACACAGATGCAAATTAGAATAGCCTTCTGTTCGCTTCCTGCCCCTCCCTTTCACCTTTGAAACTTTATGCCTTTTTTTGCCAACTATTTCAACAAATTAAATCCCTAAGGCACTTAATTCAGTGTTTGAATACAAAACTAAAGTACTTGCATGCTGAATTAAAATTGAGCCTTCTGAAAAATCTAGATCCTTAAAAAACTTGATGTAAAGTTTTGGGAGAAATAAGAGTGCTTCAGTAAAACATGAGGCATAACTGTCAAAGTATATTATAAATGCTCTCAAGTAAATGCAAAAAAGATGTCACTCTGAGGACTAAGGTGTGTCTGAACCAATTCATGATATTTTCAATTTCCTAATATGCATGTGAAAGCTGGACAATGAGCAAGAAACTGAAGAAGAATTCATGTATTTCAATTATGGTGTTTGTTTAACAACCTACTTTGTATAGATGATACAACTTTACTTGCGGAAAGTAAAGAGGACTTAAAATACTTACTGATAAATATCAAAGACCACAGCCTTCAACATGGATTGCAGCTCAATATAAAGAAAACAAAAATCTTCACCACTGGACCAATAAACAACATTTTTATCAACAGAGAGAAGATTGAAGTTGTCAAAGACTTCATTCTTCTTGGATCAACTATCAACACTCATGGAAGCAGCAGTCAAGAAATCAAATGATGTATTACATTAAGCAAATCTGCTGCACAAAACCTTTTTAAAGTATTGAAGAGCAAAGATGTCAGTTTGAGGACTAAGGTGTGCCTGACCCAAGAAGCCATGGTATTTTCAATAACCTCCTGTGCATGTGAAAGCTGGACAGTGAGGTGAATATTGAAAGTGCCATGGGCTGCCAAAAGAACCAACAGATCT